TTTTGTTTGGATGAGTGAAAAATAGAATTCAAAGAAACAAACAAATGAAAAATATCCTCATATTAATTAAAAAATATTTTTCACAATATTTTTTCTTAACATAATCTTATTTATTATCTAAATAACTGTTATAAAAAAATGTTTAACTTTTAAGATATTCAAACAAAAAAATGAACAAGGGAGAGATCGTTTCCCTCCCACTCTATGCCAATTTTACTTAGGGGAGGGGAAGTGCTTTCTGGTAAACAATAGAAATTTAGTATTTCTGTCCTATTTCTTTCCACTTCACTTCTACCACAAACAAGGTATCATATAACTGAGCATCTTTTCAAAAGAAGGTGGAAAGATCACATAAACCACGGAGTATATCCAAAATTGTCTAGAGAGTGTTTTAAAATGAATTAGCACATCTTTGCAAATTTATATTCTTAATATCTCATAATGTCTTTATTTGCTTCCTATTTATTATTGTATGCTTTCTTCTCTTATTCGAGAGCGAGTCCTAGCAGTGATACAGTTGGGTCATGATGATCCGTTGATCATGAGTTTGAATCCAAAAACAGCCTCTTGCATGTGCAAAATAAGGTTGCTACAATGGCACAACGTATAGTTGTGCCTTGGTATGGGTTCAAATCCGAAAACTTCTTTGCATTGCAAGGGCGAGCCTACATACAATGAACCTCCCCCATACCTTTGCATAAATAGGGTTAGGCTCTATTCGTTTGTACAGATTGCAGATTGCACTGTAGAGAACAATTCACATAGACAGATATGAGAGATTTCTCATGTTCCAATCAACGGATTTGAAGGAGAATGGAAGGTGGATGGTTTGTGCTTATACTGGTAGGACAACTGTAGTACCTAATTACTAGCATAAATGGAACTGCTATGTCAGTATTTTGTATCATTTTACATATCACATCAATATAAACTTCTCATACTGATTATTCTTTCTTTCTAGTCCTTACCAATGCACTGTAATTCAGTAGATTATACTTTAACCTTGTTGACTAGCAATTTCCACCAGCTCAAAGCTGCAAGAATGCTCCCCTGTAAATTATCCTTTGAGGTATCTACATTCTTAGGAGTAACCAGAAAGGATACTCAATAACTAAATACTAAGATCAGACTTTCAAAATCAAGATACAAAGAAAATAAACTGGAAAGGAAGGCAATCTAATTTTTTATCATTATTTGTTAATACCAAAATTTTACCAGCCTGTACGTGGCACACAACAGTCTTAGGATTTCGTGAGGTATAAGGATATTCTCACCTTTTCTCCGAAGAAGTTTCAGGACAAACATAGATGAGTGTGAAATCATAGAACTAGTTACACCAAGCTTCTCTGCATCCAAAGTGTTCCATTCTGAGATGCCTATGCGATCTGAATAATAGCTTCAAATTGTAACTATGTATCAAATGCACACAATCAATGACTTAATATGGGTTTCTACACATACAAAACAAGGTCTGAAACTGACTTTAGGTAACCACTTGCACTCAGTATCAGAGACTTTCATATGTTTTTATGTGCATTCTGTTTGATAGTATCATAGTGGCTCGATCACAAAATTTTCCGAAGTGCTAAGCTGAGCAAAGTAAAAAAACAAAAAAGTAATTTTACCTCCGCAAATAGAGTAGTCCAATTCTTCTTTTGGAGACTGACTACCTTGTTTTGGTTGTTTGGCCGGTTTGGGAGCATGTGAGTGAAAGTTCTAACCGAAGAATCCAAGAAAAATTAAAGGATTTAGAGAAAGATGTCAATGTGTTTGAGAAAATGCCTCAACCAAAGTAAAAGAGTGGTGCGATGTTTGTGCACCTGAGAGTTGACGAAAATCTTCAGACGAACAAGCATGCCATGTTTGTTATGGTTCATTCTGAACGGAACCGCCATTGGAACATGAATCAACCACTTCACCGCTAGCTGAATCTCACCTTACTTCATTTCTAGCGCCAAAAGATCTTTCAAGTTTCTTACAACAATAGCCCTTTTATACCTTACTACATTTTTCAACAGTGTCTTTGTTTTTATATTATTTATCCACCTTATGTTTTTACTGCTTTGTTATCACCTTATTTAATATGCTATAATGCATCTATATCATTATATAAATTTATATTTTCTATTAAATTAAAATAATTTTATTATATTGTCAAATAGATATTCTTATCATTTCTTCTCACAAATAACTACATAACTCTTAATTCAAAAATAAAATATTCAAATTCTTCTTTTAAAATTTAGTTATTTTTATAGTTTTAAAATTATATTATTTTAATAAAAAGTAATACACAAAAATGAAAACACACACATAGGTAGGTAATCAGATTCCTCTCTTCTTTTCTTTTACGATTAACCATCAATAAAGAATGAATAATATGGTTTGAAAAATTATATCTATAAATATTAGATATTGTAATATTTTGTTATTTTAAATCATTAATCTTTCTTAAAGGTGTTGGATGTGACACCTAGACACTGACGAGGGCGGGGAGTGATCGCCGGTGCAAGAGGCACAAAATGCAAGGGACACTGACAAGGAGCGACTCCTGACAGGCTTCTAGTGGAAGGGGCACATGGACGAATCGAACATAAACCGGAATGAGAGGGATCTAGAGACTGTATAGATATGGGACTATACAGTTGAAGGATAGCTTAAAGGAATTGATTTGGCTACTTATATCACCAAAATGTATTTCAAAATGCATTTGCTTTTGGGTGACCTTCTGGAAAGTTTTCTCTGAAAGTGTGCAAGTGAGGACAAAACACATTGGAAAGCCACATAGTGATATGTGAGAACAGTCAATATTCCCAGTAAGTTGTCGGGAGGGTTACATTGAAAATGAAGTCAAAGCTAACAAATGTAAAGGGAGTTTCAAATAATATAAATTTTGTGTATTTTCATTAAAATTATCTAAAAAATTGGTCATGAATAGTAGGGTTTACAAATTATTTTTCATTGATTACCTTTACATTACAATTAATCAAACTTAGAAAAGAGGATGGGATAATTGTGTAGGCTATATTTCCCTCTTGTTTATTTCTCTACTCACTGTCTTACATAAATTTCATAATTTCTATTTCAAATGGAGTTGGCTTGAAATTATTTGGAAATAGAATAATTTTACCATAATAAAGTACAATAAATATAATTTTTAAATAATATTTTTAGAGTTTAGAAATTATGTACATAAATAGTTGTTTGTATATTAATTTCAATGACATATTATTGTCTTACTTTTTAATGAAATTATTATTTTATTTGTTACAAATTTAAACTTAATTTAAAATTAATTATTTATAAATTCAATTTTAAAAATTAAATAGTTTTTTAATACTATTTTCATTTCATAAATTAATTATTTTATAATTAATCACCTTTCAATTTTAGTTATTCTCATTTTTACTAAAATACAATCAAAGTATTTTTGTAATTAATTAAATCATATAGTTATTTTTTTATAGTATTAATCAAAACTACAACAAACTTTTTAATCTTTTTTCTTCATTCTAAATATCTCAGCTTGAGTTTTTTCTTTTCATTTGTGGTGACTCTGAATAATATTAAACTAATTTACATTTGGTTAAATGCACCCAAAATCATCCAGCCTTCTTTTATCAGTCACTATAAGTAAATTACATTTTCATGTTTTATTTGTACCTTATAATTTTGTTTCACTATTAAATAATAAAGTTTTACATAATGTTTTAAGATTTAAGTCACCACTTAAAATAAAATTATAATAATTGTATATTTTTTATATAATTTTTTTAATAATTATGATAAAAAAGTACATACACTTAAAAATTAATGTGATGGTATACTAAAATTCAAACTTGATGTTATTTGTTAAGTTACAAAACAAATAATCACTCAGTAAATTAATATGGGAATAACAAATTAACTAGTTGATGATAAACAATTTATTTTATTTTATTTATATAAAAGACATTATATAATTTCAAGAAATCTTGGACAAGATTAAATTCATACATTCTTACTTATATGTAGGAAGAGTGTAATAGTTTGATTTTCAATGACAATGTGGTTGAATCCCATGTTACAGACATAGCTATAATTTGTAAGATGAGAATTACTTCAATTATATATTATACTTTGACTTTATATTTGATATGAGATTTTTAAAAAACATTATTAAACAACATTGTGCAATAAAAAGTTCACAAATCAAAATTTTGTTTATTTTTCACTCATAAGTAAGCATAAAAAATAATTTAAACATAGACCTAATTATAAAAAGAAAGAGAGACTATATCATTTTCAATGGAATATATTTAATTGTATTTATTATATCTTAATAAGTAATGTATCAATAATATTAAATTGTATAATTAAAACTGGTTCTAAATATACTTTGGTAGAGGAAGGATGTAAAAACAAAAACAAAAAAAATAAAAAACAAAAACAGACACAAACGAAACTAGTGCCTATTGCTCCTTCCTTAAGAGAATGACTTAAATTAGCATGAGTATCTTCCAAAATGAGAAGTACTTCTTTGCAAGAACATGAGGACAATGGGTGTGAGATATTCTTTTGGCATGATTAAATTTTAGTTTACTAATATTAATAGAAATGTATTAAAACTATATCTAGAAATATACCTTAAATTAAATAACGGCAGTGTGATATTTTACGTAATTTAAAAACTTAATTAAAATTTTAGAAAAAAATTGATGATCTGGCTATTGATTCCTATTTAAAAATCATCACGCGCTAGTTAAAGAGCGTGTTTGTTTTAATAAGCTTCTTAGGAACTGGGAAAGCACAACAGTGGATGGAGGCGGTTGCCATCTTTAGTCACGCGCAGGCAGAGCAAGTGGATCCAAGTTTCCGGAAAAGAAGAACATCAATTCTTTCCCGGCTTAGGTGGGTTAAGAAGTGTGGGGTCACTTTGGCTTCTCTCTCTCCCTTTTTATTTTGTTTATTTTATTTTATTTTAAATTTAATTTTGATTTTAATTTTCCGATTTCATAGCCCAACAACACTCCCTATTTTCATTTTTTTCTAATTATTTTTTCTTCACGAATTTCTCCTGTTATCTCTCCAATCCTCAGCTTCCTATTTCTCCTCCCTAAGTCGGATTTTGCTTCAATCGTTCTAGGGTTAGGGTTTCGATCCTTTCTCCCTCGATTTAATTATTATCAAGGACTGCGGCACCCCTGATTCCCCTCCCGTCGTGCTTTGGACGCAGGACGCCATGGGAGGTGACGCAACAACAACTGAGAGTGCCACATCGGAGTTGAACGCCGCGGAAGTCAACATCAATATTCGTTGTTCAAATGGCTCAAAGTTTTCTGTTCAGATTAGTCTCGATTCCGTGGTCAGATCTTTCAAAGACGTCGTGGCTCGCAGCTGTGACATCCCCGCTGATCAACAGCGTCTGATTTACAAGGGTCGGATCCTTAAGGATGATCAGACACTCCAAAGCTACGGTATCAGCTTGATCTTGTTATTATTTGTGTATTTTCCCTTGATATTGACTTTTATGTTTTTGTGGCAAATTTTGGATCCTGGTTTTTTTGCTGTTAAATATATGTATTATGTGTTTTTATATTGGTCTGTTGATTTTTTCTTTTTAATATGCTATGATTTTATTGATTTCATATACTCAAGTCTCTTGTAATCTGTTTATTTTGCTCCAGAGATTTTTTCTATAGTAATGAACGGGGGACTTTTTTTTTTCATTTGTGTGGTTTAATGTTAGCCTGGAAACTCTTTTTTCCATTTGTGTGGCTTAATGTTAGCCGTAATGTGGGATTAACTTGTTGAGAAATTTGTCTGAGTTGTGTACAGGGAAAGGCGTAACAGGAATTTTATATGCTATATGGGATGATTTGTTTTAGTGAGAATATTACATTGGAGTTGGGAATGGGAAATAATTTTTAATGCAGTCAATAATTCTTTAGTTGAAGACTCTAGTATTTTGGAGAGTGGTTATTTTTATTGATTGAATATGACTCACTTTCCATTTCGTATTTATAGGTTTGGAGGCTGATCACACTGTCCATTTGGTTCGTGGCTTTGCTCCTAACAACAACACTGGTGGGGCTAATAGTGGTGGTGCCAATACCACCACAGCCAATACCACGAGAGGTGCTGGTGCTAATGAGGGTGGGGGTTTAGGAGGGCCAGGATTTGGGGCTTCACTCTTTCCTGGACTTAGTGGTAACAATGGGATGGGGGGCAGTGGCCTCAATGGCTTATTTGGAGCGGGCTTTCCGGACCTTGAACAAATGCAGCAACCGTTTTTGTCAAACCCCAATTTAGTGAGAGATATAATGAACACACCTGCTATGCAGAATTTAATAAATAATCCAGAGATAGTGCGGAATCTTATAATGAATAATCCGCAGATGCAAGAGTTAATGGATAGAAACCCTGAGCTGGCACACATACTTAATGATCCCAGCACTCTTCGTCAGACACTTGAAGCTACAAGGAAACCTGAGATCATGCGCGAAATGATGAGGAATACAGACAGAGCAATGAGCAACATCGAATCTTCTCCTGAGGGATTTAACATGCTGAGACGCATGTATGAAAATGTTCAAGAACCATTTTTAAATGCCACCACAATGGCTGGTAATGCCGGAAATGACGGTGCAGCGGCTAGGAACCAATCAACTAATCCCTCCACTGCTAATTCTGAAGCAACTTCCCCTGTACCCAATACGAACCCACTTCCTAATCCATGGTCCTCTACTGGAAGTAAGTTTTCTTACCACAATTTTCTCTCCTAAGATAGTGACTGAATGCCCCTTTTTTGGTCTATTTTCTAGCTGGTAGCTATGTTGTTCACTGGATTGTGAATTTTGCTGATCTGTTTGATGTTGTATTTGCAGCTGGAGGTGGTCAAAATAACACCAGAAGGTCAACTCCTGCTGGTGGGGATGCTCGACAGCAGGCACCCACTGGATTAGGAGGGCTTGGACTGCCTGATCTTGAAGGCATGTTGGGTGGAATGCCGGATGCTGCTATGTTGACCCAGTTAATGCAAAATCCAGCTATTTCACAAATGATGCAAAGTATCCTTTCCAATCCACAGACTATGAATCAGGTAATTACTCGTTGCCTGTTCCAATGAGCTCTTGTTTTGAACTTATTTCTGACATTTTTTACTCTTAGATTCTTGGGGTCAATTCTGAGCAGCGTGGCATGCCTGATATAAATTCTCTAAGGGAGGTTATGCAAAACCCAGAGTTTTTACGACTGTTTTCCTCACCCGAGACACTGCAGGTAGAAAGATTCAAAATTTTGAGTCTCTTAATAAATTTTTATTGAGTCAATATTTTCAATTGTACGGTTGTATACATGTCTTTGTGTGCTTTATGTGTTTAAATATTAGGACTTTTAGCCATGCTAATATACAGTGCATGAAGAATGGTAGTTATGATTGTTTTCTACTGCTATTTTGTTTTTGTTTCTTCTGTGGAAAATTCTAATAAACGAGCATATGATCTAGCTTGACTGAGAGTTGCATAATGGCCTCCTAGCTAAGGATTTGGGGAAAAATGAGTTTCACATCCATGATTAAGTGTGTGTGTGTGTGTGTATTGCATTGAAAAATTAGGTTGCATAAAACGTGTTTTAATATGAAAAAGAGGTTTTATTATTATATTTGTCTATATAATTGATACTTATTTTAAGTAATTTTCTCACAATGACGTGGTCCTATGTTCAATGGCAGCAACTCTTGTCTTTCCAGCAAGCTCTTCTGTCTCAGATTGGTCAGCAACAATCAACACAGTAAGAAATGAAGAAATCATTGTATTTCTATATTTACGTACCTTCTGTTTTTTACTGAGTCCTTTTAGTTCTGCTAACTGGATTTGTACTATAATGTGCCAATGCTTCAATCCTCTAGCTTGATGAAGTAGTTATTTGTTTATCCCTAGTACACCTGTTGCAACTTAGCTTAGGCCTAGACAGAATCTGACATGAGAGTTACAAACAATTCTGGTAATGTTATTTATATTTTTTGTAAATTTAACCAGAAAAGTTTCAACGGACATCAGACAGCAAAAGAATAAAAGGAAAGAGTTCCTCACAGTAAACTTCTTTTAGTACACAATACACTGGCCTAACCTTATCAGAGTCTTGCTCCTTCAAATACTCCCAAAATACAATGTACCTGACACATCATATGCAAGAAAGACATGCATGACTGTAGAAGGGTTTCTAAACAACAAAACTGTCCTATGAATTACTACTAAACACACATAACTGCCGTACTACTCATAGACTGTCCTATCATTTTCTCTTTGTTGTTACTTTTTTTACTTTTGATGATCATCTTGTTACTTTTTTTATTTTTGGATTCCTGTCCGGTAACAAGATGCCTAGGGTAGGATAACAGAGATGTATCCACCATGGAAACAGTTGTAGTCCAGTAGATATACTATTTGTTTTTTGGTTCACTTTCCCAATTTGTCCCTGGGCTCCTCCTATTCCCCCACATGCCCAAAACCTGCGATGTCACCTCCCACTTTGAGCCCCATATGATACCTTTCCTCCTTCATCAACAAGTGTGGAATGTGTGAGAAGCTTTGAGAGGTTGTCTCAGTTAATGATTGAGGAAGTTTGAGACAATGGTGAGAGAAGATGGATGAGGGAGAAAGATAGAGGAAGAGGAAGGGTAGAATGCCACAGCGCAGAACCACTGTTGTAGTGGTCAGAAGACTCTGCTACCAGATTTTCCTTGCTTTCTTTTGCGGCGCCACTGTTCTTTCCATTGTTGCACATGTTTAAAGTAGAAGGCTGGATATGAATACTGATTTGTAGGCGTGTTTAAATAATGTCAAATTTTTTAGATCTCTTGAATCTTCTGTAAGCCATGATGCGTTCATTCCCTCTAGAATCTGAGCTCCCAGATTTGGGTTCTGAGACATTGAAATAAATAGAGGGGTTTTGGAATATTTGTGTACGCCAGAAACAAGAAGGATTGCAAATGAGGGTGATTGTGGCTTTAGTGTCGTAGTTGGAGGCATTGGAAACTTTCATGCCAGCATTGTGTTGTGCAGTTTCTCCTTGAGATAGAAAGAATAAGAAAAAAAGTTAAAAAAATCCCACCCACTTATATTAAAATTAATGTCTTTCTCATGGTTTGAAACTTTTGTTCGTCTCCCATGCTAGCATTTGTCCAACTACAATCTCTTAAAGAGGAAAATTTTAACATGTTTGTTTTTACTTTTTCTAGTTATTACTGTCTGATCCTACACTTGAAATATAAGATTGAGATTTCTATC